AGAAAATTTCAGAGAAATTATCATGGGTGGGATGCAAGGTTTTTGTTGTGCTTACCTTAATTCCAAGGTTGTCAAGGGGCATTTGTGAGCATCCTTTCTTTCACTGTTCAATTCATCTCTTTAGTCTTATTGGTGGTCACAATTCCTGAAAAAACAACCACTACAACATCTTCAGCTGGGCTTTCCTGTAAGAATGGGAAGGTGGAGAGGCTGCCTACTATGACTGCTGTCAGTTTCTTCTTTTTCTTCCTCCTCCTCCTCTTCTTCTTCTTCTTCTTCGAATTTTTGCTGCTTCTTTTATACTTTTAAAGAAGTCAGTGTGGATTTTTCAAGAGGCACGGAGCGGGACTTCCCTTAAAAACAAATCCAGCAGCCACACCAATCTCTGGCACAGGGTAGTCGCCCTGGCTTCCCATGCATCAAATAAAGCTCTGTGGAAGATATCATGAGGTATTTCCGCCCCCCCCCCATGTGGCTCTTTCATATCAGGCAGTGTGGGTAGCCAGGGAGGCTGCAGAGTGCTAGAAAAAAAACATCTGCCAGAAAGCAAAACACACAGTAGCCATAACCACCTATTATACGTTGATGCTAAATAAATCAGAAAGTGCTCTGAGAAAGAGGCAGAAAAGTGGAATCCCCTTTCACTGAAGAATACAACTCTCAAAGCATTAGAGCAGACTCATCCACCCAGAACTAGTACTGCCATTGACCCACCTTCCTGAAACAGATGTGTGAAGGCATTTTCCTGTACCTTCCAATGCAGCAGTTTGCAGTTAACTTCCCCTTATTCTCCTCTCTCACCCACTCCCCTAAATTTGCTTTGGGGTTCCCCCAGCCCTCCAAGGGCAGATTTGGGGAAGCTGCAATGGGTACACAGGGAGAGGTGAGTGAGAGGGGAATTTCTGTCGTGCAAGCAGAAGTACTTAGTTGGACAGGATCCTTTGTTTGCTTGTTTCTTGGCTCAGCTTAAGGTGTTGGTGTTCACCTTCAAATGTCTTAGGACTTGAGTACAGTGGTACCTCTGTATGTTCCAGAGCCCCGTTCACATCCTGAAGCGAACGCAACCCGTGTCTGCACATGCGCGGGTCATGATTTGCTGCTTCCGTGCATGCGCGGGACGTCATTTTGAGCATCTGCGCATGTGTGAGCAGCGAAACCCGGAAGTAACACGTTCTATTACTTCCGGGTTGCTGTGGAGCGCAACCCAAAAACGCTCAAGTTGAAGCTACTTCAACCCGAGGTATGACTGTACCCTTAAGCTGTGCCTTTTTTCTGAATGCACCAAACATCCTCTAACATGCTGCTCTAGCTCATTTGAACACACAAGGCATGGCTGATGGTCCATCTTTTGGAATGTCTTGCCAAATGAGGAGGATCAGGCCACATCAATGTATTATTTAGATTATCAGAGGGCTGTTGAAAAAGGCTTTTGGCTGGTGATTTTTCTGCTGGTCTCTGGCTGTGCTGGTATTATGACTGGGGTTCTTTGGGTGACTGTAATTTCTATTGCTGGCTTAAACCTGGGGATTGTTTTCGTGAAACATTCATATATTTTGGCATGTTGTCTGGCTGGTGCTCTTCAGAAAATAGATGGGTTATGAATGTATAAAACTGAACAAAGTGTGCCTTAAATTTAAACAGTTTTGAATGGGGAACTTCCCCATAAGAAGTCTTTATATAGCCACATTTAGATATAATCAAGATTTCACAGGATGAGCAGCTGAAGAGTACAGGATTACATATTGAGTCACTGGCAACAATATTCTGGGAACCACTGAAAGAAATGTTGGCGAATACTCACAGAATCAAGAGAGAATTTTCACCTTCTTCTGAAGAGACTCTCCTGTATTATTCTCCCAGATAACGAAAAACTAAAACTTTGCATGCATGTGCTTAAGTAGTAATCTGTATCCATATTAACGTCTGACAAACTAGTAGATTATTATACACCCACTTGGTGTTTTAGTTGAAACCCATCCCACAGAATGGGAGGCCGAGAGGAAGGTGGGCGACTGGCTTGGACTTTCAGATATATAAATATATATTTTGAAATGAGGGCAGTTCAGCTGAGCAGACACTTTGTAAGGCTGCTCAGAGCCTGGTGTTAATTAGCACTGCCAAAAGGCCAGAATAACTTGAAAACAGAACGAGGCCAGACTGATAGAGTATGTTCTGGTTATTAAAAAAAATAAAAATGTCAGCAGCTCACACGGTGAGAGGAATGTATGATATCTTCTTGAGGGAGGCAAGGTGGAAGGTGTGTGTGTGTATGTGTGTGTGTGGCATTTTGGGAATGTTTGAGCATACAGTCAGAATAGAAAGAGTAGATAGGAAAAGATAGAGATATCCCTAGAACTGAGACGGAATATACAGAATGATTGCAAAACAGCAGGATTATGCGGTCTGATTTAAACTAGACAAAGACATCATAATGCTTTCCACATTGATAAATATTATTCCTTATTTTTAATGGAAATAATACAAAGTTTAATTGAGATCTCTTCCCCCAAGGTATTTCAGGGGCGTTCTTGTTAATCAGAAACTTACCATATTTTTCTGTGTACAAGACGATGTCCCCACACCTGTTTTTAGTCAAAAATTGGGGTTCGTCTTATACATGGATTTATACAGTAAGTGCGAGGAGGGAGCATTTGCCTTTCACCGGCTGAGGTGAGGTGAAGGTGGTTGGAGAGGCAAGGTGGATCAAGCGGTAGATCAAAAAAAGCCCAACAACTTTTGGGGCGATTTCCCCCAAAAGCTGAACAACTTTGAAATAATGATTTCTAAATTTGGGGCTCCCAAAAGTAGGGGTCGTCTTATACACAGGGTTGTGTTATACACAGAAAAATACAGTAATTCAAAGTCACACTAGAAGCAGAATAATTAGACAGTTGGTTCAAATACTTATATCTGAATCCTTATTATGAATATAACTATACTGTTTTGCATTTGGTGAATACCAGAGAATCAAAACTGCAATAATACAATAATAAAGGGCCCCCACTTTCAACACTACCTACCTCCCCTTTGGTGCTTTTCAGCCCTCTGGACCTCTTCATAGATCACTGGTGCATAAAGGTACATTCCTGCATGTTCACTGTGTATCCCCACATGAACTTTCTGAAGGTCAAGATTGGAGAGATAGATGTGTCTGGGAACAAACGGGATACACTTGACCAGAAGCTTAAACTAGCACAGGCCCCTGAGTAAATTTTCACTGCATGCTTTCAGACATGTGTTTTCCCTCCCTCACTGCAGAAATGCATGCCACAGCATGATAAGTGGTCCTTATAATTGTCTGTGCCGTATGTTGTGGTACCGAGAGAAAATACACTTGGCTGAATTCTTATTTCTTTTAATTTAATTCTTGATCTGCAATGTTGCTCCGGGAATGCTTCAAGTCTTAAAAGTGGCAGAGAAATGAATGAATGAATGAGGAAATTTGATGCAACACCAAAATAATAACAATAACAACAACAACAACAATAATAGCAATAATTTGTACCTCGTCCATCTGACTGGGTTGCCCTAGCCACTCTGGCCAGCTTCCAGCATATATAAAACACAATAAAACATTACACATTTAAAACTTCCTTATATAGGGCTGCCTTCAGGTGTCTTCTAATGGTTGTATAGTTACGTATCTCCTTGAGGAAGTGTGTTGAGCAACTCTATATATCCACTAGCCCACATTGTTCTGCTTCGGTTTGTACACTGCCTTGAACTTTAGAAAAGTGGTATACAAACAGTGTTGGTGCTGACCTTTAAAGCCCTAAACGGCCTCGGTCCAGTCTACCTGAAGGAGCGTCTCCACCCCCATCGTTCTGCCCAGACGCTGAGGTCCAGCGCCGAGGGCCTTCTGGCGGTTCCCTCATGGCAAGAAGCAAAGCTACAGGGAACCAGGCAGAGGGTCTTCTCGGTACTGGTGCCCGCCCTGTGGAACGCCCTCCCATCAGATGTCAAAGAGAACAACAACTACCTGACATTCAGAAGACATCTTAAGGCAGCCCTGTTCAGGGAAGTTTTTAACGTGTGATATTTTACTGTATTTTTGGTTTCTATGGAAGCCGCCCAGAGTGGCTGGGGAGGCCCAGCCAGATGGGCGGGGTATAAATAATAAATTATTATTATTATTATTATTATTATTATTATTATTTTATTTCCCCGAACCCGGGAAACTCCAGAGCCCTTTTCCTGTCCACTTCATTCTAGGACCGTCATATGTTTTGCTTTATAGAAGGTAGTCATTTATTTGATAGGCTGTGAGAGAACAAGCCTCAGTTTGAAGGACAGTCTAGTCCAAGTCTTGCTTAAAGACCTAAACACCTAATAATGGAGAGCCTGACTTTTTTGGTTTATCTTTTATTTACCTACCGATTACGAAGTATCTTTTTTTATATATAATATATTGAGATAAAACAGCTCCTTGATCTAACAAAGAGCAGGGTCAGAAGGAAGAAAATACAAGGAAATGAGAAATCTAAAGAAGGAGAAAGCAAGAGGACAGAAAAAGAAAGAAAGAAAAGCTAAAGAAAAAGTGAAATAAAAGGACTTTCGGTTCTCTGCAGCGACATATGACAGTCATTCTTTTAAGATCCAATCGTTCTATCTTCTATAAACCAGTATTTTTTCAGTCTTCAAATCCAGATGTTACAAGCTCATTTTCTCTTTCACACAAAAACTCCGTAAGAAATTTCCAGTCCTTAACAAATGTCGGTAATGATTTTTTTCTCTAATTAAACATGTTAGTCCAGTAATTTCATCAGCCATTCTTCTACAGTGGGTAAGGCTGTGCCTTTCCATCTTTGTGCATATAGCAGTCTCGCTGCAGTAAATAATAATAATAATAATAATAATAATAATAATAATAATTATAATGCCTTTATTGTCAGTGTACAACCTGTATACAATGAAATAATCATATATTGGAGGGGAGAGCTTGAAGTTTCCACCAACAAATTAGCACCTTGATAGCAAACAGGTCACAGTCTTCCACACTAGCCTGGACAGCTCAGTTGGTTAGAGCATGGTGCTGATAAATGCCAAGGTTGGAGGTTCAAACCCCATATGGGACAGCTGCATATTCCTGCATTGCAACTCTGTGATAAGGAGGTGATGTAATACTACTTTTTAAAATTACATTATTACTAAATTTGCTTCTATACATACGAATTAGCTTATTTAAACTGCATGAAAACAGGTTTCCTCTTTTTGTGTTACATTAAGACTCTCTTGTTTCGTGCTAACAGTGCTTTGCTCTCACAGACATAAAACTATCCCAGCCAATTACAGAAACCCAAGTAATTTGACTTTGGTAGGTGGTAATGCTAATACAGGTGTGAAAGGAAAGCTTGGCGTGTGTCTCCCTCCCCTCCCATGTATCTATTAAAGTAAAACTCAGTAGCACAAATGGCCTTTGGAGACTGTTTTCCTGCTAGTCTGTACATCTGTGAGCTCAAGGTAAAGAAAGCTCTTTGGCTCCCTCTACAGGAAAAGGTCATGCACTGAAGGTTTAGTAATTGTTTCCAGGATGATTTGCATATGATGTTTTTTTGTTCCAAGACGCGGTTAGACAATACACACATGTACTTTACTTGGCATACTGTGTAATTGCAAAGAAAGAAAGAAAGAAAGAAAGAAAGAAAGAAAGAAAGAAAGAAAGGTTTAAAACGTGTGTTTTATAATCGTGACAAGTGGGATATTTAATTACAGAGAAGGGCTTACATCTGAAAGTGAGTCAGCTAAAAATCACAGCAAAAAAAGGAGAAGATCCCTTTTATTTTAGCTTGGAAAAGAGTGGCTGGAATGATGAAGCCCAGTATTCCACCACACACAGTCATCATGAAGGATTTTTTTCTTATTTTTAATGCGTTTCTGGTAGCAATCGAACCCACTACAACTATTCTCGGAGGACAGGGGAGCTGTAACTTTTATTGCAAGTTTGCTTCAGCAGTTTGCTTCAGCTCTGCCACATAACTAATGACAGCAACTCAAATAAGATTTTTAAAGGCCTCACTTTTAAAAGTCCATCTCCCTTATAATGTATCTGGCGAGCATACTATCTGGGGGTTTGGAAGTGTCTAAAGGGCAAGAAATAAACAGCTAGTGTCAGATCAAAATCCTGGCATTTAAACCAGAAACTGGGGTTGTCAAGGGAAGGATGCAGGTTTATATCCTTCCAGTGGTGTTCCTGAATGCATCCCATTACTAGTGATGATGATGATGATGATGATGATGATGATAGTTGTTATGTACTGAGTTGAATAGGATCCAAACTGCAGCAGTCTGATTGGTCCTAGAACAATAGGATCCAAATTGCAGCAGTCTGATTGGGCCTAGAACAATAGGATTCAGAATGCAGCAGTCTGATTGGTCCTAGAACAATGCAGCAGTATGATTGGTTGGCAGGAACCACCCAATCATGCTCCAGATATAAGTGAATCCACAACCTGATTGGCTTACAGTAGAATTCCAGAATTAGCCAATCATGTGCAGCCCATTGTGTAAATAATGTATATAAAGCAGATACTTTGAGGGGACATTCATTCATTCCTCCTCACCACTATGAGCTGAATAAAGAGCATGAAATCACTTTGCGACTCTGAGTATATTTCAATAGTAATAATAATTTATTACTTATACCCCGCCCATCTGGCCAGGCCTTCCCAGCCATTCTGGGCAGCTCCTAACAGATTGAAAACACGTTAAAACATCAAACATTAAAAACTTTCCTAAACAGGGCTGCCTTCAGATGTCTTCTAAAAGTCAGATATTTGTTTTTTCCTTGACATCTGATGGGAGGGAGTTCCACAGGGCCAGCGCCACTACCAAGAAGGCCCTCTGCCTGGTTCCCTGTAACTGCACTTTTCGCAGCGAGGGAACCACCAGAAGGCCCTCGGAGCTGGACCTCAGTGTCCATCATCCCTGACCGTGAGAAATCTGGATTTGAGTCCTCAGATCAGAACCCTGGGGAGGTGGCTTTCAAAACTCTGGCTTTGGTTCAGACATGCACCACCTTTCATAACAATGTTGAACATTCATAACCGTAGCTGAACATTTGAAGAATGAGCTTTCCCTGTCCCTCGGCATGGCAACAGGGAGGCCTTCAGAAGCTTCCCTTCCATTTTAGATTAACCACTGTTTGCAATGTCACTTGAACCCAGACAAACTGTGGTTAATCTTGTTAGCTGAAAGCAAGTCGGTTTCAGACGGTAATTAAGAAAGCTGGCCCATCTCAATTTGCCATAGTGTAGGGTTCAAATGGCAAATGGAAGTGAAAAGCTTTCAAGAAAAAGAAGGTACTTTTTTCCATATGTGGTGGACTTGTCCCAAGGTGAAAGACTTCTGGGAGAAGATTTATAACGAACTGAAAAAAATGTTGAAATATACATTTATCAAGAAACCAGAGGCCTTTCTTCTTTGAATAACAGGTTTAGAATTGCCCAAGAAAGATGTTAAATTATTTTTGTATGCCACAACGGCTGCTCGAATATTACTTGCTAAAAATTGGAAAACATAAGAACTACCAACAGTGGAAGATTGGCAGTTGAAGATGATGGACTTTTCGGAGCTAGCTGACCTGACTGGAAGAATCCGCGACCAGAAGGAAGAGGAGTTTCAAGAGGACTGGAGGAAATTCAAGGACTATTTGAATAAATATTGTAATATAAAAAATTAGAAATTACTTGAAAGAAACAAATAGGCCTAGGATTAAATTAAGTTATAATTAAATAAATGGGATTCAGAATGTTAAGAAAAGTGAATAAGATGGACTATAATTGGAAATTGTTTTAGTTTACTAATGATATTGGAAAGCTGTTACTTTTAATTACAAGGAAACTCAGAAGGGAGGGATTTGAGGAAGTCAACCAAGATGTTTAAAAGGTTGGATTTGTGAAGAATTAAGTTTGTTATTATTGTCTATTTGTTTATTGTCCCCCCCTTTCTTCTTTTTTCTTTTTCCTTTTCTGTTTTTGTGTATCATCTTGCTTTGTGGTTTGTGTTATCACGGTGGAAAATCTAATAAAAAAATATTTTTTAAAAAAAGGAAGTGAAAAGCTTTCAGTTTCTGAATTTCTGTGCTGGAGGAGGGGAAGCGGGAAGCATGAGAGCCCAAGGCTCACACAAGCTCATTCTCATAACACTAAACCATAGTTTAAAGAATGAGTGGGGAATCTTTGGCCTTCCAGATGTTGCTGAACTACAACTCCCAGCAGCCCTAGCAATCATGGCTAATGTTTGAACACAGCCATTATATTTCAACTACAGCACATTGGAATGTTTTGCTGAGGAGCATGTTAAACAAAAGGTCACTGCCTTGTAATTTTTGCATACAAATAGTGCAATGTGTTACTAAAACTATGCATGAATAGAAAAAAAGCATTCCCTCTTTTAGAAAAAGCTGGCAACAATGAAAGCTGATAAAACATTGTCACAGTTTCAGCACCGCAGGCTAAAAAAATTACTCTCCTCTCTCTTCTGACCCCCACAATGCAACAGAATCGTTAAAAGCCGTGGTCAAATGGAAATGTGGAATACATTCCAATGATTGAGAATGTTGGCAATTCTACTGTTAGATTTTCTTTTCTGTTCTTCAAATGTGAAGTCTTACTTCAGATTTCTGATCTTTGATGCAATATAATCTAAAGTGCTCTGGTCCATGGGGTCACGAAGAGTCGGACACGACTAAACGACTAAACAACAACAATCTAAAGTAGATATAATGGTACATATTAATTGATGGTTGGTAAGTATGTGTATATTTCAATTTTGTTCCTGAGCTTATTTGAAATGTCTGTAGTCTAATTAACTAATTAAAAATGATGTCTTAACTGTTTTCCCTGAATAGTTTAATGAAGCAGTAGTATAGGATTAAAGTGCACATATATGAAATATCCATTGGGACTTTAATCCAAAAATGGGCTGCATTTTGGAAATTAAATATTCATTTAATATTTTGCTTTCCGAGAGAGGTTACTTTCCACTGAGTGATTTAAAAGCAAAGAATAACAAAAACTGGCAAAGGTATGAGTGCTACTTGGTAAAGATAACTGTTAGAATATGTTGATTTTATCATTATGATTCATATACCCAATACTAACAAGCTCTGCTTATTTTGCACGGCACGTTATATAAATGGATCAGGTTGGGATTTTCCTACTGGAGATAATCCAGTTTCCACTGGAATCTGTGAGAACTTTAACCTTAACTATTTACAGTTCCAAATTCAATAGCCCGTTGTAGCTCTCATATGATACAGAGATTGCAGAGGGGGAGAACCAGAATAAAACAGAATAATAAATTACTGAAATAATTATACACAACAGAAGCAATTTCATGATCAAGGTTAAATACACCCATTAAATGCCAGTATGTATATAGAAGTCATCAGAGCACTCAAGTTCCATAACTGCCTCTTTGGTCAGACTCCCTTCAGACTCAGAAGATGGTTACAGAAGGAAAATCCCCAGAGAAGAGTCTCTTTGCATATGCAGTTGCCCCTGACTAGACATTATATGCTGTACGGTAATTTGTATGAAACACCTAGGCATAAATAGAGAAATATGTTCACCACCCTCCGTGATATGAATAAGACTAAATACCTGTTATTAAATATCTGTTGTTATTTGTATAAGCAGATGCACTAATCTGCACTCCATCCCCTCTGTATGCAGGCTGGAGTAATTTGTGGGTTTTTCTTCCAAGATTTAGTAGCCACAAAGAAGCCTTAGAATGTCCTGGGCAGGGTCAATATTCCATTTTGCTGTATACAGAAAGCACTGATCCCTTGCAATCACAGCCCAGAAAATGCTTCAAGCTGGTTTGCGAATAAGTGGGGGTAAACAGATGTATCAAGATTATCTGTATGCTGCTGCGTTTTCTAATATCTAGCAGCAAGGATTTTTAATTTAAAAAATAATAATCTGTAACCACTTATCTCTCAACCAAAGGAATGATGAGGCACTTTGTAAACTGAATGGGGATTTTATTTAAACACACCCAATGAGGCTTGTAGCTTAATGGTTACTCTGATAAAGCACAACACTTGGTTCCAGTAAAAAAACTCTCCACAGAG